CCCCCTCTACGCAACGAATAAGGCTGAAACCGCAGACTATGCAAATGGAAGACAGACACCAACTCACCCCACTGTTTCCGAAAGGAATAGGTGGAAAGTCCTGAAAGAGACTCTCCTGGCAGCTTCCCACGGGAGAGGTACTGAGTGGCCCAGATCGCCACGGGATCATCGAGCAAGACTTCTTCCTGCTGCTGCTGATGCGTGCGCTGCGCCCCCTTCGTGTTGCAGAGTGTGAGCACCACCCCGTCTGCCGAATGGGCAACGTGTCTGACAAGCAACGACAGGGCTTCACCCGTGCGTAAGAAACCGACAAACATGAGGAGGCATAAGCATGCAAAGCTGTACCAGCCTTTTTTCCAGGCTGCGTGTGTAAATGCAAAAAGGATGTCTGGGGTCATCGGAGCTGCCTGACATGGCAACTCAAGATTGTCCCACGTGCTCTTGAGCTTCCAACTAAGGGGAAGCTGTTTGCGTAACTGCGGCACGTAGAATTGCACAGCAGCCAAAGTGAACGTGGCTACTGCTTTTGCTTCACCCTCATGCCAGAGAAACTCAACATACTTTGCGAGCCACCCATCGTAATCTGCCGGAGTGGTGGGTAAATAGCCCAGGCTTTGATGCAGGAATAAGACAAACAACTGAAAACTTTTGGCATACCGCTGACGTGTGGCAGGCTTGACCAAATTATCCTTCAAGCATCCCAGCTTGCTACGAAGATGCTTGCGTCTGGACTTGTCGGCTCCCGTGACTGTGCATGCTCGTGCTGGCATGACGAGAAGGCCTATCTGCCGGGTTAAACTCACTCTTGATGTAGGCAAACAGCGGCAAAACGTCACATGCGATCACAAGTGCTGCAAATCGTCGCAACAATGCATTTAGCTGCACGGAACTGGAACGGCCTTTGCACAGAACTGCCAAGCACACTTGAGAATCAAGCAAGTGCATTACGCGAGCTTTGTGAAAGCGCTTTGACCTGGAGCGCCACATGAAAGACCGAAGACATGCCCGCATTTCTAGCAAATTTATGTGAGCATGGTGCTGCCATCTCCAAGCGAGTTTGGAGCTCCAAACCCAGAGGTGAGGGTTGACAGTAATGCGTGGAGCCCTTTCCGGTCGCAGAAGCATCCCGGTATCAAGCCGCACATCTGAACCTCTATACTCAGCTCTGCGCAAAAACAAATGCGGCAAAGAGGCTTGTGAATGCAACGCTTCGAGGGACCTGTGGTCCTGGACTTCCAGCACGACTTCTTTCTCTTCAAGAGCACGGCGTACTTTCGCTTCTGTCTCGGCCAGCGTGTCATACTGAATCTCCGCACCTGGGCCAGATGGGGGCTTTTCACACGGCCACTGAATGAGAGATAATGCTCGTGCTTTTGCTATGTCAGCCGCTAGAGGCAACGGGGACTCCCAGCCCGCATGTTTCAGGCCCATGCGCAATATGTTTGCCAGAACAACAGCATGCGAAGCACGAGCGACCAAAGCGAGTCTAATGTTTTCACCTGTGGCGCCAGGGAGCTGTTTGAGGACACTTCGAGTGTGACTTTTAGGAAA